CCCCCTCCTACTTAGTCATTCTTCATTTTACAGAATTTAAGGCAAAAGATGTATACATTGATATGTATACCTCTTAGCTACCCAGTTTGACAAAGGGATGCATTCCACGTGACCCACAGCCTCGAGGCCATTTAGAATATTTTCATCTCTCCAGGTAGTCCTTCATGGTCCTTCTTAGTCATATAAATATGACTCAATATGTGAACTTAATTTGTTCCACGATTCTGGGGAATATGGGCACATTTGTGTTCATGTGGGGAAGACGGTCACAGTCCTGTTTATCACTCAATTTGGAGTTCACAAATGGAAGCAAAATTTTGCCAAACACTTCTATTTGCGAACCAAACTGTTCTCGAACAGAAGTGTTCATGAAAGGAGGTACTACTGTATATATAACTTTCCCTAATCATATATGTATAAATATATTTGTATCTATATAAATATATGGATATGAGGTAAGATCAAAAAATTCAGTTAATATTTGAATATAAAAAAGTAATGACAGTAAAAGGCACATTGCATTAATCCCTCCTCAAAAGACCGCATCCTCAAACACATTTATCCCATCATTCTTGCCACTTTCTGAAGCACTTCTGGAAGTCTTCCTTCATGAGTATCTTTAGTTGTGCTGTCCTGGCTGTCTCAATGTCCTGAATTCATTCAAAATGTTTACCTTTCGGGTCATTTAGACTTCGGGGAAAAGCCAGAAATCACACAGTGCCAGACTTAGTGAGTAAGGCAGATGAGGATGCACAGTAATAGTTTTGACAGAAATTTCCATAAATGCTTGATAATGAGGGATGATTAAAAGGCACTGCAAATGTTCAAATTAAAATACTTATTGCACTAAAATGCACATTGCCATTAATCTCCCTCAAAATACGCTTCCTCAACTTGAACATACTTAGGCCATTGTTCTTGGCAACATCTCTTTTACTGTAGTAAGTTTTTAAAACTTAAATCGTCTCATATTTTCTAATCACTGTCTACCTCTCTATCTACTTGTACACATACATATGTCTTTCAACCTTTAAAAATGCCAATATGTCTAAGAAGTACCAAGTATCCCTTCCGGAGGATGTAGGCTGTGGATCCTGGTAGCTTCCCTCCAATTCTATCTTCAAGTTCGTGTGCTTTATGAGGTGACACCAAGGCTGAGAAAAGGGAGCCGGCTGAGCTGCTCCTGCCATGGAGAGGGAAGTACAGAATGTGCTAGGGTTCCGGTGGGATGATCTTCCTGTGCACCATCTGGAAATGCTTGGAGGAGAGGGTGGGCCCTATGCCCTAATGAAAGGCCATAAACTATTCCAGGGCAGCCCCCGCCCTTCCGTTCCTCTTCCTCCTGTTTCCTCCTCCATCTTCCCCTCTCCTGGTCCTTGCACCTTGCTCTCCACCCTTTCTGGATAGACACGTGCTCATCTGTACAAAGTAAACAGTGTTGACTCATCCCTGCCTGACTACTTTATAAATGACACCCCCATCCCCCGTGGGCCTGGAGACATTATGAGAAGAATCCCACAAAGAGTAACCTGGGTGATACCTCATTTAATTTTTTCAAAGAGTTGACTTTTTTTTCTAAATTTACAACTCAAAAATGCCATTAAAACCCTCACCCGGATCAGCTGTATCTTTAAGTGTAAAATCCATTTTAGTCGGCGGAGCTCGAGATATGGTTAAGCACTTATTTTTATTGTCTGTCTGGGCATGGTTTCTAAGGGCAGGTGGAGAATAAATCAATAATGTCATAAAGACACGCTCACCAGGTGCCCTTTCCCCAGCCTCCTGTGTTGCACCAGCGCTCAGGGGAGTGGCTGAGGTCCCCGCATTCCGAATTCCCCCAAGTGGAAGACCCTATGCCTGGCTATGGGTTCTCTCTGTGGGTTCCCCAGCTCTGCACAGGGAATATCCACTCACCACTTGCTGCAACACCAGAGCTCCAGGGAGAAGCCATGAGCACATCTTTCCCATAAGAAGAGGCCCGGCCATGGAGCTTCCCTCAGCCATTTACCCAGGACTATCACCGGCAGGGGCGGAGAGTCCATAGGACAACCAGTACCACAGTAGATATCCGTGTTACCCCTCGCACCTCGGCCTGCTGGGACTTCTCAGCATTCATTCCCCTTATCTGCAAGGAGACACCCAGAGCTGGCAAAGAGAAGCAAAAGCTGCAGAGAGGATGAGGCTGCCCTGCAACTTCTCTTCCAGGAAGTGACCCTGGGGTGACCATTCTGAGCTGGGGCATGGCTGAGGTGTATTCTCATGAGTGAAGCTGTCTTCTATCTGGGACTCTGGTCCTTGACACTTTACCAAAACAACTGTCTCCCGTTTGGCAGCCCCTCGCTCCAATTTATTTTCTTTCTAGCTCTCCTCACAACCTGTAATGTGGATGCTTGCTCCGTACAGTCCCCGCCCCATCAGAATGAAAGGTGTATCAGGACGGGAGCTGGGCTCAGGTCCCCTGGCAGAGAGTCCCTGTAGGGTGGCCGCAGGGCACAGCTTCTCAGTCCCCAACTAGCAGAAGCTCTCTGCAGGCAATGGGCACTCCTCTCTAGCTTGTGTCCTTGCCAGCGCTGGCATTTTTCTTCTTTATAAGTGGCATCATTGAGATATAATTTATATGATATATATATATTCCATAAAATTCACCAATTTCAAGTGTGAAATTTAATGGGTTTCAGTATATTTATAGAGTTGTGCAAGCACTGTCCTACTCTAATTTTAGAACATTCTTACCAGCCCAAAAGGAAACCCCATACCCATTAGCAGTCACTTCCCATTTCTTCCCTGGTGCCAGGCCCCTGACAACCACGGATCTCCACAGATTTGCTTTTCCTGGGCACTTTATATCATGGAATTGAACAACGTGTGCTCTTGGTGACCACTTCTTTCACTTAGCAGATGGCGTTGAGGTTTATCCGTGATGTAGCATGTGTCAGTGTTTTGTTCTTTTTATTATAGAACAGTCCTACTGTACAGTGTGTTGTCTTGGTCTGGTCACCAGTTGATAGATATTTGAGGTATTTCCACTTTTTGACTATTATGAATGATGTTCCTGTAAATGAATTCATGCACAAGATTTTGTGTCGATGTGTGCCTTCGTTTCTGTTGGGTAGATTCTTGGGAATAGGACTGCTGGGTCTCCAATGGTGGTTTGGTACTTTATCCAGGTAATATATTCATTCTTTTCTCCATTATTGGCTTTTGAGTGGCTTGAGGGCTGGCTGGGAGCTGCCTCATCTAAATATTCCTATACGACTTGACCCCACTGGTTATCTATGGTGGCTCCTTGTAATCTTTACCAGAAATAAGGACAGAGGGCAGGAGAGAAGCAAGGCTGAAGGAAAGCCTCCTGAATTAGGGAGAAAGAAGGGTGGGTGGTGGGCTCCTTCCTAGCTAGGCACTGTGCTTAGTCTTATGTCTGATGAAGAAAGTGTGTCCCTATTCAACAAAACCATCTTCGGCAAGGTTGACAATAACTGAGCTCAGATCACTTTTGGAACGTTTTTCCTCTGAGAATAAACAGAAATTGCACCCATTATGGAAACTTTGCTATTAAGTAATGATTAAAAAAAGAAAATGAACGACCTAGAGCACTACATTCCTGCCAGGCTGTCCTAGGTTTCCTAGCACACCTTATGCTCTGCTGACCATTTGTCATAAGATCATCAGCCATCCTAGGCAAACCCCAGGAAACCTCTGAGGGTCAGTTGTCAGAATATGTGAAGTGGAAAAAATAACAGGGCATACTAAAAATTGGCAACTGGATTCTGCCAAGCTCTCCGTGATGTACTTGGATCTTTTAGGACCCATCTTTGTGGATAAGGGGAAAGAAAGAAAATGTATGCAGGGTGAGGGCAGGAAAGCTGTAGAACATAAGAACCTGCTCCTTCCAGTTCCCCACCATATCTTTGATATTTCCTCCTTCTGAGCTGGCAGGAAAGTGGGCAGCACCAGGCAGGTCAGGTAGGAAAGCAGGAAACTTTGGCCTTCATGACTACACTCTATTGTCCTTTCCCAGTTAACAAAGCAATTTGAATGCCTCTCACTGGGCCACATTATTGGGATGCAGAGATGAATTACTGACTATGGTGTGTAGTGTAAAGTGCACAAGTTCTAGCATCACAGGGAATTCTGTCAGCCATTAATCCACTTGCCCCTCGATCCACCCACTCAACAGACATATACTGAGTGCCTTCTATGGCCCAAGCACCATATTCAACAGTGGAATCCTGGTTTTCCTTCCTATAGACCAGTGGTGGCTAACCTATGGCCATGCATGTTTTGTTTTTCTTTTAAGACAAAAGATTTTGAAAAGTAAATAATGATAGATGTTAATGTATGAGTTGTTCTTTTCTAAACTAAAACCTCAGTATTCAGGTTTAATTGTGGCGTTAGCATTTTTCAATAAATAAGTTGGTTTGGGGTTGCAGTTTAAGCACTTGTCTCTAAAAGGTTTGCCATCACTACTATAAAGCATCAAGCAGATTACCTAACCTCTTTCAGTCTCAGTTTCTCAGCTGGTAAATGGAAAGAAAACAGTACCAGCCCCACTGAGTTGTTGTGAGACTAAATGAAATGTGCACAGCATAATATCTGAATTAGCCAATGTCGGCTCTCATTATGGGAAATAGTATATGTACTGACATTGGAAAATATGGACCCGACTTCCGGTGCTCACAGTGGGTGCTTCCTCTCACTCCAGCAGAATGGGAGACCCTTGCCACCAGGCCCACAGCTGCAACCCTGATCTCTGGGGACCTCGGGGCTCCTGGGAGCCCAGTCCTCTCACCGGCCCAGCACCCACCAGCCAGCTCTGCCAGGAAAGGCGGATGGGCGGCCCTGTTGGCAAAGATCCAACCAGGGCAAGTGTTGGGGTCCAGAGGACAAAGGAAAGGGACATTTCAAGGAAGTCCCTACTTCCTCCGAAACAGTGTTCCTATCTGCTTCGCGCACATGATCTATTGGGACATCCTTCACGGTCCAAATGTAAGCACGTCCCGGAAAAAAATGCCAGCATTGGTCTTGTGGTGAAATGTGTTTCTTTATAAATGCCCTGATGTTGCCTTCGAGCCTGAGGCATGGGGAGAGGAAGAAGCAGACTTCATGTTTCTGACCAAGGTAGAGTTGCCCTATTCCTATCATTATTTACTTTTCAAAATTTAAGATGACTTGTATCTATGCAGTAAGACTAATATAAAGCCCAACTTTGAAGCAGTTTATAAGCTGAAAGTAGACCCGATATATAAAAGCGTCGGCCTCTACAATGGCCATTTTCTTAATGAGTAATTTATTTTGGCTTCATAATGTTCTATGAGGTAGACAATTTTATTATCTCTACTTACAGAGGAAGAAACTAAAGTTCATGGCGGTAATTTCACTCACTTAGGGTTACATAGCTAATGGGTGGAAGAAATGGTCTTCAAGTTCAAACCTGTCTGAATCCTGAGCCTATGTTCTTAGCCACTTACCATTTCTTTACCATGAGGATTGCAAACTTTTTCTATAGAAGGACAGATATTAAATATTTTTGACTTTGTGGTCCAGACTCTGTCTGATACAACTGTTTGATACTGCTATTATGGCATGGAAACAACCGTGGACATGGTATAAACAGATATGGCTATGTTCCAATAAAACTTTATTTATAAAAACAGGTGGCAGGCCTGGCTGGGCTGCAGTTTGTGGACCTCTGCTGTAGACCAGAGCCTGGGGTACATCACCAGCGAGCTGCGGAATAAATGCCAGCCATAGAAGAGACTGTGACATCTTCAAAACATGTGCTATCAAAACAACATCATTCCCTACAAGGAAGATGACATTTACAAAGGAAATGTGAGCCCAGGATTGATTGAAGGAAATCAAAGAAAGCAAGAAGGTTGGGTTCAAGAGATCACTGTTAGAAGGGTTTCTTCCACACAGCCTTCCTGACCCCAGGACAGTCTGCTTTCTTTTTTGTCACCTGGATTTTCCTGTCCTCAGGCACCCCTTCCTTTACCCTAAAGGATTTAGACCTCTCTAGGCGCAGGAGGCCATGTTACCGCTGTCTGTGGCTTCCTGGCATCCTCTGCTGCCCCCAGTGCCTAAGATGCTGAGGGTCTGGTGGCCCAGAGCCAAGTGCACTGGAGCCACTCCAGACCTGTCTCTGGGACAGCAGCTGCGGCATCTCGCTGACACCAAAATACATTCCTGAGGCGAGGGCAGACAGGCCACACCAGTGCAGGTCTTCTGCCCTCTGAGGATCTGGCTTCATCCTAAGGACACATTGGTCATGAGGACACCCCAAGTGCTAAACCCCTCACCCAGGAGATCTCAGCCAGCTCAGCACTTTCCCCAAGGCCTGGGCTCACCCAGAGGCATCCCCCCAATGCCGCTTGGCTGGCCCAAGGCAGAAGTAAATCACACAGGGAAGGAATTTCTCAGATACCGTAGCCACTGGCGACTTGACGGGTGCCATGAATCAGGATTTCACCCCATTTCACCTGTACTCTCCCTAAGGCATGTGCAAGGCCTCTGGAGGCCAACAGTAGGAGAAGATGATGCAGGCCAAATTCAGCCAGGGTGAGCATCAATGGTGCTGCCTCTTTGTCAACTTATTACCTGAGATTTATGCATGATGCAGCCAGGTCTGCTCGGTGACACATTCTAATTTAATTAAATTTCTGTTGGATTGATGTCTGATCAATCAATAATGTTAATGTTTTTGCAATTTGGAGATTAAAGTATGGTCAAGCCACAGCAGTCCTCCATCCACTTATTTCAGAATATTCTTTGAGAAGAGGCTTGCCTGCCTGCCTGCCTTCTTTCTCCCTCTCTCCCTGCCTCCCTTCCATATGCAGGCATTTATTAAGTGTCCAGGATGTGGAGCTATGACAAGATGGAAAAATGACCCAGAACTGGAGTTCACAAGCCTGACGGAACATGGGAATCAGCTGGAGGCTGGGTTGGGTCACAGATTACAGGGCCCAACCCCAGAGATTCTGACTCATTAGTTCTGGGGTGGAGCCCGGGAATCTGCATTTCTCTCAAGGTACCAGCAGTGCTGATACCACTGGTGCCAAGAACCCCACTCTGAGAACCACAGGCTTAAAGACTATGGGCAGAAGCTCTGGAACCACCAGACTTCAGATCCCACTGAACTGGGCAAATTGCTTGATTTCTCCATGCCTTGGTTCTTGTAACTCATAGGTCCTACAGCCAACAAGTGAGACTCGTAATGCCTGTAAGCAACCAGTACAGTGCTTGTCCTGCAGCGCACACCCACACCTGTCGCCTGTTCTTGCAGTGGATTGCCAAGCCATGAGACTCCTGTCCTCATGCTCTTCTCTCCTTGAGGGTGTCAGGTAGTACACATGTAGGGATGGCATCTGATCTAATCAAGAGGTCAGAGAAGACCTGTTGATGAAATGGAGCTGAAGTTTGAGGAAAGGAAGAGGCAGAAACAAAGGAGTGGTAGGTGTGGGAGGATCCTTGTAGGCCATTTTAATGGGTTTGACCAGTATTCTAGGCCCAGTGGGTAGACAAAGGATATTTTAAACCAGGGAGGCAACAGGACCGTGTTTAAATGTGAAGCGATCTTTCTACCTACAGTGTGGGAGAATGGCCCAGAGGGCAGTGAGAGTGACTATAGCAGCAACAAGACTGAATTAGCTGTAACTTGAGCTCAGATTCTGTTCCCATTTTGGAAATCTGACTCCCACTGGCTGGCCCCCTCTCCCAAATTGGTCATAGGTCTGGGTCCATTGTGACTGCAGCTAAGTGTCCAGTGATGGGGGAAGTGGAGAAGTCAAGTGTGAAGAATGATGCCTCTTAAGTATCCCATCCCCATTTCAGGAGGTGCCTAGTTTCCATGACATGAAAGGTGTCATGCAAAGTGGTCCTCTAAGACTCTGAAGAACTGGAACTTGAGCACATGCAACCTTCTCTTAAGGCCCTTACCAGCTAACATTGCACCCATTATTTACCCACAGGACATTCGCAAATCAATGCTTGCATTCAAAACAATCTTTGCTGATAACCAACTATGTGGACCACAACAAAAAGTTAAAGGTGCCACCCTGAAGATCAGCTTTGGCGCCCTGGCCGGCTCTCCTGAATTAACACAAGAGGCCAGCTCTGCCTCAGGATGGTTGGTGTGAGCGTTAGGGATTCACGTCAGGTCTCCTACCCAAGGCCCTTCATTGCTCCTTCAGACAGAGCCTAAATCAGTCTTCTCTGATGGAACCTGAAGGTGGGAATCCAGAGAATGAGACAGCTTCTATCAGAGATGAATCCTGCTCAATCTAAACCCACAAGTCCGTCTTCCTACACACAGGTCCAGAGAGTGTCACCCAGCAGGATGTTGCCCAGGTGCCTGTGCTAGGGTAGGTGCAAGGTAGGAGAGGGCAGAGGGGGTGAGGTCCTGAGCAGTTGCAGACCACAGCCATGCAGGAGTCAGAGTTCTGTATTTCCTCAGAGAGTGTGGGCTCACCCGGAGGTTCCTGAGAACAAGGAAGCACTTTCCTTCATTTGCTCCACCTTCCAATCTTGGCATTCTCATTCTGCAAAACAGATTTGTTTACTAGTTCACTCATTCATTCATCTCTTTATTCAACAATGAAGATATCCTCTACAGGCATAAGTTTCTCAAACCCAGGTGATGCAGAAATAGATATAATTTTTTGCAAGTTTGTTAATCATAATAAAAATAATGATTATTAAGACTGCCAGCATATATTGAACATCTTCCTTGAGGGAAGTAATATATGGTCCTTTATCCATAACACTCTCTTTAGTCATCGGAATACCTACTGGAGATAGCACTCATTATAGCTCTCTCTTTGCTGCAGAAGAAAATGAAGGGCAGAGATTAAGCCATTTCCCCAAGGTCATGTAACTAGTAGTGATGGTGAAGCTGAAAGGTAAACACATATCAGCCTGATTGAAAAATTAATAAAAGTACGTATTTTCAAGTGTGTGTTAAGACCTATTCTGTCATCATGCGTTTCTTCATATGGTTAATGAAAATATCCAAAACATTAGGCCCCTCTGGAATGATTGCTAAAAACCTTCTCCCTGGGGTCTATTGATTCATTAAGCAATATCTTTGGGATTCAGATGATTATCCAGCCACAGATTCATCTAAAATTACTATTTTAGTCATTTTAGTAATGATTATCCAGCCACCTTTCTCCTTGTTGAGAATTTGCTACATACCTTTGAGCCCATCTGTACATAATTTCCTTGAATCACAGTCTAGTAGCCCTTTTTTAACGTTCTTGACCTTAAACCATTGTGGTAATGAGGTCCCATGACGTTTTTTCTTCACATAGTATGCACTGTCTGTAGTAACCTGTCCTAAGATTTGCCAAGAATCAAGATCAGAGTCCAGGCTACTTTTTGGAATCCATGTTGACCCTTTAAAAAACCTTAAATAACAGCTCCCTATCACCATCGTGTTACCTGTTCCCTACTGTCAGCTACAGCATTCAGTCATTTACCAGGTCTCCGGCAGAGCTGAATTAATTTAAAGCAAATATTACAAAATGACTGCCTCAGGCCAAGCTGAGTTTGGGGCAGGTGTTCTTTGGGTCTGCACAATGTCTTGGAAAATTCTGAATTCCTTGCTGGCATTTAAAATTCTGGGCAATTCAAGCACAAAATCCTTTAGGGTTCTGGTTTGTCTCAAAAAAGTGTTAAGATCAGGCAGCACTACTCTGCATACCTCCCTGACATGGGATGGAGTGGGCAGTAACTGGGGTCCACAGCTCCCTGCCCCAGGTCACTTGGCCACACGCAGCCACATCTGGGCATACCTCACTCTCGTCTGGCCAGACCGTGTCATCAGCCAACTCTTTACCCCTGTGTAGATTAGGAAGCCTATGCTCCTATTCCAAAATTAATGCTTACTTTATCCTAATAGTGTGTGCATGATCGTTTTCAGCTTTACTCTTGTTCTCCAGGGGAGAAGGTGGAAGCAGCATAAGAGTGAAGAACTTCTGCTTTCTTGCTGTCATCTGGTCAAGTTGCATCATCTGCTCCCAATCCCTTCCTTTTCCTTCTTGCTCCAAACTTAGCTCAAAAAGCCCTTTTTATCATCCTTCCCTTTTTTGCCCACCTCAGCTCTTTCTAGGGTTTTGTCTCTCAACACTCTTCTTACAGAAGCACTGTCAGTTTGCATTTGTTTTAGGGTGAGGTCTTGCATCACAGAGCAATGCACCTGCAAAAACAACTAAATTAGAAATATAGTCATGTTCCGAAGTTTGCAGTGGGCTCCACTACGTCAAGGGGGGAAAATGTTAACTGCAGTATAGGAAAAACCCTTCATAAGCAAATTGTAAGAGATTTTCAAAAAAAGAAACCTAAGTATTTTGATAAAATCATATATTCACACTTCCAGTGCCAACCTTTGCATCCCGTGTCCCCACCTGTCTTACTTATGGCAGGGCCAGGAAGAGTTCCGTGTGGCCTTAGACACCAGAAACCAAACATTGTCCCAATCAGAACCTCACAGAATGCTCGATTCCAGTTTCAGCAATGGAAAGGACCCCGTGACTATTCTTGGTATGGAAGCTGGGCAGTGTTGGTGGAACAGTATCTGCAGTGCGGATTTGCCGTAAATTTCTAAAAGACATGGAGCTTTCAAATCAAACCGTCATTGGATGTTAATGATATGGGGCCTCAAGAAACCCTTTCGGGGCTTCAAGATGTTTCCATTTCACAAGAGCAGCAAGAGCAAGCTTATTAAAATGTAAATCAGATCATATCCTCGCTTCTCTTCAAATCACCCAGCACTGTCCGCTGCCTGTAGATGAGAGCATAGCCCTGCCACGGTTCTCATGGCCCTGTATGATCCAGCCCTGGCCTTTTCTCCAAGCCCATAAAAGTGCCATCTGCTGGACTCTTTTCTTCCAAGCTACACAGACAACCTCTGCTCCTGAAACCCTCAGGCACATCTCCACCTAAGGCCTTGGCACTGGTTTTTCCTTCTGCCAGAGAAGGTTTCTTCTTCCAGGTCTATGGGGCCACCATTCTTGCCATATGGCACATCCCTACCTGTTAAAATCTTCATCCCCTAAAGTGGGCCTTCTCTGAGCTCCCTGATGAAAGCCACCCCTTGATCACACTCCAATACCTTCCCTGACTTCGCAACCCTAAACAGTGCCCCAGAATGCAGACTTCTGCTTCACTTCTTTATCATCTTCTCCTCTATCAAACAGTATTTAGTAGAGGCAAGTGACAAGTCTGCCTTCTTTGTTTCTTTTCTTTTTTGTGTGGCCAAACTTTTTATTTAGTATTCTGTAGTTGTTGAACGCACACTTAGATAGTCTTACTGGAGAAGAAGAAAGGGGAAGTTCCTGCAGAGTCCAAGGGAAATGTCAGAAAAGCGAATTATGGTTAGCATTATCCATTTCCTTTTTGGGTTTCAGTGGGAAAATAACATTCTCCTTGCATAGGTATCTGATCTGAGGTTTGTCATACCAAGAACATGGAGATTTTAGTTGTAAGACACCCTTAAATCCTAACTGGCAGTTTATTTCTATTTCACCAATATCTAGCATAGAGCTTTGTCTGTAGTAGCAGCTGGACAAGTACTTGTATGTATGAGTCCAAAGGCAAGTGAGTGAAAATATTTCACAAGAGAAAATGAAATATTAGCCTGGTGATGTGGACACGATTCACTTTGTGCCAGTGTGTGTGTGTGTGTGTGTGTGTGTGTGTGTGTGCATGAACACTCTCAACAAGAAGTGAGTTTGCAG